CGTGCGTGCGTGCGTGCGTGCGTGCGTGCGTGCGTGCGTGCGTGCGTGCGTGCGTGCGTGCGTGCGTGCGTGCGTGCGTGCGTGCGTGCGTGCGTGCGTGCGTGCGTGCGTGCGTGCGTGCGTGCGTGCGTGTGTGTGTAAAATATCAAGTAATAGACTCATAATCGTTATATAACGAATGGAACACACACACACCCCTGATTGAGACATTTACTATTTTAAAACTATAATTGTTAATAACTTTTTAACGAAGGGCGAGCGACGGCTAGTTTTTAAGGCAAAGTTACTCAGAATCATGACCTTGATAACATGTGTCAAGGTCAAGGTCATCGATGCTGCCTCCCCTATTCTAAATAATTACCGAGAGAAACTGTAACTTATGTAAACGAATGTTCAAATTACTTATTTCCTTCTGTAACACAAAGTTCTGTTCAACAAATTATTATACCAGCTGTTATACTGTTTTTATTCAAATAAGTTCCACACTTCGTTATTATTTTGTCTCGACAATCTTGAACTTTATTTTTTGGAATTAATATGTAAACAGAATATCAGGTGTCACCATAAAAAAAGATTTATACAGGATAATTCCGAAAATAGCGCTAGCCATTGCCTGGACGTATTTATGGATGTATTAATGGATGTATTTATATGTATACAACTATTGACTTATTTGGAGACACGGTAGTGTCTTGGTAAGTCAAGTAAGATAGACAGAGCATCGTATAAGAGAAGATAAAGACTTGATAGAAAGAGAGAGAAATAGTAGCGGAATAGATCTCTCCTTTTCTAGTAGTAATTCGTTTGATCGCCACGGCACGCTGAAAAATCGTAGGGACCGTTACGCTAAATATATTGAATAAATGCACAAAAAGTATGTTCCTCGTAACATTCTTTACAGTTTCACTGCTTCAAATTTTTCGATCTATGTGGGAACAACGGATTTACAAAAACCGTATTCAGAACATCGGATTGAGTCCACTTACATACACGAAAATTACGATTTGTATTTCTTAGTTAACGATATCGCTTTACTTAAGGTAACGATAACATTCATTACATAGCATAATTCCAATTAAATTGTGAATTAAGCAATTTGTAAATTAAGCCTGCGCAAAAAAGTATACAAAGATTTATTTTCAGCTTCAACCGCCATTGAAATTTTCTTATCTGGTCTCTCCTGTAAATTTACCAGAACAAAATGAAACTGTGGAGGTAGGCTCGGTAGCAGTAGTATCGGGATACGGTGTTATATCTGTATGTATCTTAGAAATTCTATCATTTTAATTCTTAGACGCAGGTATTCGAGAATAAAATCTGAAGACGATCTCATAAGTTGCATGTATACATTTACACTTTATATATTTGCAGCCTGATGGAAACGTAACCACGCGGTTGTACGTCGTCGACAATATCATAACTAATGAGACTTTTTGTAGAGAAACGTTTGAAAATGAATTTAATGTAACCATAGACTATAATACGCAAATCTGCGCAAATCATCCAACCGTACAACAGGGTGCATGCGCGGTAAGCTATTTATCTAAGGCGTCGTAATACCTACATCGCAGTCATTAATTATTGGTTAGAGGTATTAATTACTTAATCCGCAATATTTTCCTCGGCAGCATGAAGTTTCAATTCGCCATTTTCCTAATAACTACTAAACATGATGTCTTAATATTATAGTATCGCTCGCACTTCTTATCACGTATTGTGAAACATCCTCGATAAGGAGATAAGTTCAATTATATCGTATAACTATCGAAAGTCATTAGAGACGTATAGTGAGTGCAGTATTTCACTTATCATAAATTTTTATTGAATTTTTATTGAATAATTAATTAATTAAGTATAATACCCAATAATACGTACACGCATAATACATTTTATTTAACTACTGGAATATGCTGCATCACCGATTTGTTAATTGTTAATGTACTGTTATAATTGTTTTTTTGTTTGTTAACATATTTAATGTTCCTCATTACGTTTTATAAAATATAATAATTTAATTTAATTTACAAAAAGATTGTATAACTCAGCAATTGATAGTTTAGTATCATCATCAAACATCAATTTAATTAAAATAACAAAACACGTAAACCACTTGAGATAGCTCTGATCTATCGAAGAAATATGTTTAATTTAAAAAAATTTGTCGGTTTTATCAACCAAATTTTTATCAAATATATATTTAAGTATCATAGAATTGTATTTTTTAGGGTGATTCCGGTGGCCCTCTTACTGTCAATAAAAAACTCGTAGGACTCGTTTCGTTTGGGTATGGGCTTTGCACTAGTGTAGAATATCCTGGCGTGTATACACGAGTCTCAGCATATATCGATTGGATAAATGAGAAAAAGGATGAAAGATATTTTTAACAAAATATAGTAATCTATAATTTTCACACTTATTGTTAGTGACATGGATAAGGAAAGAATTGATATGTATAATTAAATGTTTAAATGTAAGTGTCATATATAAATCGTTAAACAAATATCATATATTTAATAAAGCACATATGGCTTACATATTTTATTAAAATTTTCCTTATATTCCAGAAATCAAATATATAATAGTGTATAATTCCTAAGGATCAATATCGTATGATTATTTGACGTACTGATATTTGTAACTTTTACTTTAACTTGTCAAACTGACATTAAGGAAGATCTTACTAATAAAAGAAAACATTTAAGTTTAATTAAACGACAGATATAGCGTGTAAATATGTATATATTTACACTCAATAGTAAAATTAAATACCGATGAGAATAAGCCATTTACGGTCAAGCTGGATATTGAATGGTTCTATCATCATTTTCGTGTAAATTTATATACTACGTATCTACATATAAATTTACATCACATATGTAGATCAACAGTAAAATTAAAGCATCACTTATCCTGCTCTCCAAAAATAGGCAAATTTAAAAAGAGTAATTTCGTCAAAAATGATCGTAAAAAAATTTGTAAGAAAGCATTCTAAAGCTTGAAATCTTTACTTTCGAAAATGGTAATTGTTTTTTTGATTTGATTAATTCTTTACGAAGTTGTGCAGACACAAATAAAAGTGCGTCAAATCACAAACATTTTTACTAACTTTGAGAAGTTCCATGGCGTGAATTAAAAATAATATAAAAATTCGATTTACAACATTCGAAAGCGTAAATTTTTACCTTTAATTTTATTTTTTGTTGAGTGCTGTTTGATTTTTTTTTATCGAGTTATTCAATGTTGAAGTAAAAATGACCTTTTTCCCAGATATTAAATGATTCTAATTTTGTTTAAAAAAAACTGCAGGTAAATTTCAAGATAAAATACTTCTTCAAGAATTATCGTATCGAGATGTTTAAAACACCATTTTCAAGCTTGAAATCTTTACTTTTTATATCAATATTTCAAAAAACAGTATTGCTGATATTTCGTGAAGTTACGTAAAACATAAGTGAAGATGCGTCTAACTTTAAAATTTTTTATGAAATTTGAGATGTTTCACGACGTGAACTAAAAATTGTGCACAAATGTTTACAAAAATTTAGTTTACAGCATTCGAAAGCATAAATCTTTACCTTCAATTAATTTTTTTATTGAGCTTTATGATTTTTTTTCACCGAGTTATTCAACACTGAAGCAAAAGTAGTTCCTTTTGCTATAATGTTGATTAACTTGGTGAAAAAAAATCGTACAGAACTCGACAAGAAAGAAATTAAAGATAAAGGTTCACGAATGCTGTAAACGTAAACCAAATTTTTACGCAATTTTGAATTCACCCCATGGAACTTCTGAAAGTTAGTAAAAATTTTTGTGGTTTGATGCACTTCCATTTATGTCAATATAACTTCGTAAAGAATTTCAAATCGAAATATCAATTATCATTTTTGAAAGTAGAGATTTCAAGCTTTAGAATGCTTTTTTGAAAATTTCTTACGATCATTTTTAACGAAGTTACACTCTTTTGAAATTTGCCTATTTTTGAGGTGCAGAATGAGTGATGCTTTAATTTTGTTTTCGAGTGTATATTATATTTTTTGTTTCATTATTTTTTATTTAATTATTGATCACTATATTAGTAAACGTATCTTAAAAGAAGGACGAAGTAAGTCAATTAAAGAAAATTTAAATTGTTCAATAGAGAACCATCGTATTTTAATACTGGTTTGCGTAAAACCTATCGCGCCTAACTTTTATTACCCTTTTATACTCATTTTATTGTGATATTAAGGAATCTTAATCGATTAACTAAGTTAAAGAAAATTTAACTTAACCACTTAACTGTTCTGTTTACCAAATGCGCAAAATGATTTTAGAGAGATTAATAAACATTTATCTTTTAAAAATGGATAAAAGTGGATACAATCAATACTTGGAATTAATTTAATCTATAAACTAAAATTGTATAATACACATCGATAGAATTTCAAACGTTTCAGCTTCACAGAGCCTTCATCAGTGTAGAACAATAATTTACAATCGTTAATTTTGGATGGAAACAACAGCGTCGGTATAATTTTTAAAATAAGATCTTGATTTTACAACTTTCTTTTGGTGTTACTCTTCTTTTCAATTCAAATTCAGTCTCATCAATCCAGTTTGTCACATTGCAATCCAAAAAGAATTTGATCGTTGAAATGCGAGAAATTCAATTATGTCAAAACAATATTGTCAACCATTAAAATATCTTTCCAAATTAAAAAGAAGAAGAACGAAGAAACATGTTCAAGCGTCGAATGACATTAACACAACCAGGAAATATAAAGTTTCGATTGATGTATTGCTGAGTTGCTAAGAAATTTTATTATTCACGAGGCATCGGATATGAAACTAACAAGTAAACCTACCCAAGTGTGTCATTCCGATTTTGATGAGTTTTTAGTATGTTGTTCTCCAGACAAAAATAAGCGACATGTATTTTTTTATACGTGCCCATACGTACTTTTAAGGGGTAAAATACTCCTTTAAAAAAAATCAGTTTTTCTCTTTCGAAGCGAATATCTTTGAAACTATAAGAGATAGAAAATAATTTATAGAATGAAAATTGAATTCAAGAGTACTTTAGAATTATAATTAAAAAACTTTTTTTTAATTATTTATTTATAATAAAAATTATTTATTAATAAAAAATAATATTTTAAATTATTATAACTATGTATTCTCTATTAGAAGTATAAATAAGTTTCCGCCGTTTGACAAAAGATGGCGCCACCAGTATGTTATGGTTAAAATTGTCTGCTGTAAAACGTTATATCGTAAGGTTGGACATCTGGTAACAATATAACCTTGAAATATTAGCGATTTTGTATAAGCATCATGTATCTTTTTTCGTGTGAAAATGTCGAGTTTTTTTAACCGAATAAGCGTCATTTGCGGGAGCTTCTTTAATTTGAAAAAATCTGCAGCTGAGGTGCATCGATTGCTTGTAGAAGGGTGAGGCTGCCTTAAGTGAGAGAAGTTGCCGTGAGTGGTTTCAAAAGTTTAAGAACGGTGAATTTGACGTCGAAGACAAAGAACGTAACGGAAGGCCGTAAGTGTACGAAGACGCGGAATTGGAAGCATTATTGGATGAAGATTTGTGTCAAACGCATGAAGCACTTGCACTTACATTAGGAGTGACTCAATCAGCAATTTCACATCGCTTAAAATCATTGGGAATGATTCAAAAGCAAGGAAATTGGGTTCCGTATGAACTGAAGCCGAGAAACGTTGAACGCCGATTTTTCACATGTGAAATGCTGCTTACCAGGCATAAACGAAAGGGTTTTTTTGCGTATAGTCACTGGTGATGAAAAATGGATCCACTACGATAACCTAAAGAAGAAAAAATCATGGGGACCACTTGGCGCCATGCTTCAACATCAACAGCCAAGATGAACATTCATGGAAAAAAGCTCATGTTATGTATTTGGTGGGATCAGCTTGGTGTCGTGTATTATGAGTTACTCAAACCGAACGAAACCATTACTAGGGCCCTCTACCGAACACAATTGATGAGATTGAGCCGAGTACTCAAAGAAAAACGCGCCCACTACTACTCCAGACACGACAAAATTATTCTTCTGCATGATAATGCTCGTCCACATGTTGCGGCACCAGTCAAAACCTACTTAAAAACACTCAATTGGGAAGTTTTACCCTACCCGCCATATTCACCAGACATTACTCCTTCTGATTACTACTTGTTTCGATCGATGGCGCAAGGCCTGTCTGAGCAACACTTCACATCATATGAAGATACCAAAAATTGGGTCGATTTGTGGATAGCTTCAAAAGATGACCAATTTTTTCGACGTGGAAACCAATTACCAGAAAAATGAGAAAAAATAGTGGCTAGCGATGAACAATACTTCGAATAAAACATTAAGTACCGTTCTTTCACAATAAATGCACAATTTTTTATAAAAAACGGCGGAAACTTATTTATATTCCTAATATTAACCACAATTTTGCTTCTTCTATTATTATATTCATTGGCAAAAGCATAATAGATACTCTAATGTATTGTTAAAGTAATAGTATCTATGGTTCTCGTAAAAATCCTCAGCGAATCATACGTATGGCATCGTAATATTTAGCCCCAGCGATTATTTTTTATCATTCATCAATTTAGCAAAGTGTCATCTTCTTACAATATGTTAATAGTATCGTAGTTCTGTATCTGACAATATCGTGTTAGATTAAAGAAATAAAGAAATAAGAAAGTTGAAAAGCTATTCGAACATCACATAACGTAAAAAAAGTACTACGCTGTGAAATTCGACCGACCGTGAAATTTTTCTGATTTTACAATGATTATATTATAACTTGAATGATGGCTTGGAGCTCCCACTCCTGTTACATCAAAAGACACGAAAAGATGAAGAAAATGTTAGTTAACTGTCAAAGCAGGCTAATAAGTAGTAATTGTCGGTTGTATGGAGATATAGCCTGTTGTTGGTGTCTTAAAAATTTAATTTTTTTTTTTCGGATGTAATTTGTTAGAGAATCGCACCTCAATTAATTACTCTCACATGTGCACATTCGTACTTTCAATCGTAAAGAGAATCGATCAGTTGCATAAATTATAATAAATTATAATAAATTATAATAAATATTAAACACACACACACAGATAAAAATTAATAAAAAAAAATCCTATCTTTAGGCGCGCGCGTAAAGTGGATTTTGTTGTTAGTACTTAAGGGGGGGGTAAGGTATTTTAACTTTTTTTTGACCATTTTTTTTTATTTTTTTATCTGAATGTACAATGTCTCAAGATTATTGTGTGAAAATTTGAAGCCGATCGGAGCAAAATTAACGGAGATATGGAATTTTAAGTGTCCGTTGCTCCGACTCGATTTCGTATACCTGCCCAGTAGCTGGGCGAAGCGTTTGCCTAGCAGCTGTTTCGTGTGCGAATAACT